GAAAGATTTTATTTTTATTTATTTATTTGAGAGAGAGAGCGAGAGAGCAGGGGGAGGGGCAGATGGAGAAGGAGAGACAGAGAATCTCAAGCAGTCTCTGTAACGAGCCCAGAGCCCCACACAGGGCTCAACCCCACAACCCCGAGATCACGACCCGAGCCGAAACCAAGAGTTGGACGCCCAACTGACTGAGCCACCCGGGTGCCCCCACATTGTTTTTTTTTTTTAAAGATTTTATTTATCTATTTGAGAGAGAGAATGAGAGACAGCACAAGAGGGAAGAGGGTCAGAGGGAGAAGCAGACCCCCTGCCGAGCAGGGAGCCCGTTGCGGGACTCGATCCCGGGACTCCAGGATCATGACCCGAGCCGAAGGCAGTCGCCCAACCAACTGAGCCACCCAGGCGCCCAACCCCACATTGTTTTTTGATGACTTACATTGGCTTTGTGAGGGTGAGGCAGGATTTCAGGAGCTTGAATTTGGCCCTTTCCATCATAATGGCTCCTACTCCACAGGTCATGAATGAACATGAGGATTCTACCAGCTAAGCATGTCCATACAAATTATATGTCCAGAAACAGGAAATGATCACCAGCCAGTTTTGCAGATCCATTGGACACAGTGTGAAACTGACATGGGAGAGGAATCCATTAATCACCAGTCCTCTGTATTATAGTTACCTGCAAACGAACAGGATGGCATTTTTGTTGCCCTGCCTTCTCTATCACCTCAGAGGCTGTGTCAACAGCTCCCAAAAGTGTCTGGATATTCCCATTTCCTGTCAGTTATTGGGTAGATAATGGGAGGATCCCCTTGGGGAAGGATTTCTGAAATATCGTAAGGTCCTCCCTCAAGTACACCTGGCTTTCCTGTTGATTTGTTCTGGATCTGGGAATAGCTTATATCTGGAAACTGGGAAGGACTCGTGACTCTCCACTGGTGTGGCTGAATCATTGGTATGACTCACCCACTTGCGATCACTAGTCAACCCATATGTGACTGCCCCTACATCTGATACCTTGGTGCACCGTGGTAGATTAATCATTTCCACATGTCCCTGTGGACCAGAGTCTCTTGGTTGCCATCTCAACTTTTCTGCCTGTGTCAGTTTGAATCTTCTGAGGGTTAAACACCAAGCTGGGACTGGATATGCACCAGAGTTTTTAGGGCAAATAGCTGTAAGGGGGAAGGGGCAGGAATCGGTAGGGATAGCCCTCAGACCATACTACTGGTCTGAGACCTGGGAAAGGAGAAACGGAAAGAAGGAATGGTGAAGAAGAGTCTTAGGTTGCAGTTCTAGGAAAATCTTATCCACACTGATGGGGAGTCCCCAGGCAAAAGTTATCCATTAGGGGTGTCCACGTGGGGAGGAGTGGTCCATCACTTGTAACTTGGCCAGTAAAGTGATGGGAACGGCCTGGATGAAGCAGCTGAGGGCTGTCATTCAATTGTCTTCTCTCAGCCCTCCCCCCAGGAGCTCTGGAAGGAAATCCAGGAGGGGCACTTGCATGAGGCCACCACACTCCCTTCCCAGTAAGTACTTCCACCTGGTCTCTGTGCTTTGGTGCTGTCACTGGGGCTCCTGCCATACTCATTGAAATAGACTAGTCCAATTCCATGGCAGCATGCCCACCACGAGCCCCAGCCTGTGGAAGACAGCCACAACTGAGCGTCTCCAGAGTGGCAGCGCCTCCCATCAGCTTCATTTCAGGAAGGGAGTGTCATCTGAGCCCTCTGGAAAACAGTCCACTGGTGTTTCTCTGGTCCTTTATAATAAGCCCACTATAGCATGAACACCTCTCTCTGATCATTTTGACCCTGTTCCTCAAGGTTGAGGAAGTTCCAGCATCCCCATCTTTTTGACAGTAAGGTCCCATTTATCCAAGTTTCAATCACCATCCCATTAGGACCAGACCCTAGGTGCCTTAATCATGAGGGGACTGCACCAGGATCAATAAACTCTCCCCATCCAGTTTTTTACCCTCCTCTTGATCCAACAACCTCAGGACACATCTAGGCATGAACTCCTAGGTCCTTTTTGGTCATTCCTCCTGTCATCCAGAGATAGTACTCATGTCAGGTCATTTTGAGACTTGAGGTTTCTTATTAGTCCAAAAGAAATGATGGGATGTGGGACATTTCTTGAGTAAGGCAAGCATAATCCTGAACCAGCCTGTGGGTGAGGTCTCCGCAATGTCTCCAGATAAAAGTTGGAAGCTCCAGACCTGTAGCAAGGAGGAAGCCTCTTGGCCCAGAGGTTTTAGGGAATCAGAGTTACCGGTTAAGTGTATGCAGCTAGATGTGCCCATGCCAAGTCCCAGGTCCCATGCCTTCCCTATCGCAGCCTGACTTTGGTGTCAGAGACGCTGGGGCTGTGAAATCTGTTGACTTGTTTCTCCATTACACTCTGCCCACAGATCTTGACCTTCCCTCTGCCCACAGGTTACAAAGGTCTCTAAGCACGGCCTAGAAGCCATCTGTCTCCCACATCAGTTGGCTGTCCTGAGCCCACCATTTTCTTCTGGTGCTGTTGGCATTTAGCAACAACCAACCCACTCCACTGTTTTTTAGTGATCATTTCCGCCATATTGCTCAAATGTTGGAGATACTGCATTAGTCAATGCAACCCCTTCCATCTGAACTTGCAGATCCACCACACGCGAAGGTCTTATTAGGTAAATGTCTTATTACTTGGGGAACTGAGCATGCTAGAGTCCTTACTTCTATTTGGCTGGTGAGCTATCCAATTCCAGAATTTCGCTCTGAAGATTTGCTCCTTATGACCACCTATAACACAATCATCTACTTAGGGTTTCACAAGAATCAGATCCCGAATCAAATGCAAGTAGCTTATTTAGGAGGCGATCCTACGAAACATGGATAAGGAAGGGAAGGATGGCAGGAAAACAAGTTACCACTCTTGGGCAACTGGAGTTTAATCCCACTGGGGACCCCTGGGAAACATTCTAGAACACAAACCTCAGACTATCGCTGTGGAAAGGTGGGAGAACTGAGGTGTCTATGTACCAACTCTCATTGGTCATTCATTGAGAGCTGCTTCTGGAAGGAGCTAATTTCTTGCACCCCTGTCCTCCCCTGCACACAGGCACAGATGGTGCTGGTGGCCAGAGATGCCCAGGTGATAGCAACTAAAAGTCAAACAGAAATGCAAGTGTTGAGGGAATACAGGCAGGTCCCTGACAGCATCTACTACAATCTCCAGAGGCTGAATGAAGGTACTAGCAGTGGAAACCAAAAGGACTATGTTAATTCGAAAGATGTTGGAGGCAGATGGAGAGTCCTGATGTGTAGACCGAGGGTCTGGGTCTAGGTGAGTGTCTGTCAGGGTTGACTAGAGAAGCAGAATCACTGCGAGGGATGCAGAACAAGGGATTACTCTGAGGGTGGGTGTTATGCCGTGGCGTGAGCGGTGGAGCAATCTTCGCAGGCTACTGCATCTCCTCTAGCGTTGAGCCTGTGCTCGCTCGAGGTCATCCACATCCACAGTTGGGATCAGATCGCAGTTGGATACCCATCTCCTCTCCCACATCAACCTCGGTGCTGGCGGTGACCCGTGGAAGAAGCTGGCACAGAAACGGTGATGGAAGCATTGCATTCAACTTCCAGATCTTCCATAAGTGTTCCCCTACACCTCACCCTAGCCAAGCCGTGCAGGGAAGAGAATTCTGCTAACGTGGTTTAGCTGAGCTCAGCCAAAACTGTACAAAGCCACCCCCAAGGGACTGAGGAGGAGAAAGCTGCTCTAGAGAAATCTGATAATGTGTCTATTTTGGTTTATAGTTTGTAAGATTGTGGAGCGTAGAGGGAAGTCAACAGAAATGGGAAAATAACATTGCAAAGAACATGAACACTGCCCATAATGATTGGCTGGTTGTCTGCACATAGGTGGTGGCCACAGCTACAGACAGGGGGAGGGTGAGGCAGAGGAGCACCCTTCAAAATCAGCACTAATCTGGGACACTGGGATGGTTGGGGCTTGACACAGGGTTTTCCCCATGACAGGGACAGGGAGGAAGCAGCTGCTGGGTCAGTACGCAAGTCTAGGTGCCGTGGACTCTGCCACTGAGTCCCCATCAGTGAGCCTGAAGCCCAATGCGAGACCGGTAGGCTGCTATGAGTCGCCCTCATGCGAACACCCTGGGACAAGGCCACAGCGCCTCCTGCTGGCCACAGGTCAAATTTCAGTCTTTCCCCGAGGGGGTTCTCAGATCCCAAACCCCAGCATCCGACAGTGATTCAAACTCTGGAGCTGCCAAAGCTGCTCTGAGAGATGGGGTGGCCGAAGAACGAACAGATGGGGGGTTCGTTCCGGGCAGCCGAACGTTTCCATCTTTTCTTTTTTGGCTCCTGCGTCTTGTTACATAACCCTTCCTAATTCTAGGTTTGAAAATGCACTAACTTGGGGTGCCTGGCTGGCTCTGTCAGTGGAGCATGGGCTCTTGATCTTGTGGTCCTGAGTTCAAGTCCCACGTTGGGTGTAGAGTTTACTTAATAAAAAAAAAAATTTTTTTTTAAAGATTTTATTTATTTGACAGAGAGAGACACAGCGAGAGAGGGAACACAAGCAGGGGGAGTGGGAGAGGGAGAAGCAGGCTTCCCGCCGAGCAGGGAGCCCGATGCGGGGCTCGATCCCAGGACCCTGGGACCATGACCTGAGCTGAAGGCAGACGCTTAACGACTGAGCCACCCAGGCGCCCCAATAAAAAAAATTTTAATGCACCTTTTTTCTGTTTATTTTGCTTTGCTTTTAGCTGTTCAATATATCTGAAATATATCTTTGCATACAGAGAAGATAAGTAGTTGCATTTTTTTAAATGTGGCAAGTTCTGGTAAGGCTTAATAAAAAAAGACTTAACTACATGCTTATATTGTGCTTCAAATTTCACTCTTTAAGGGACTGATGAGTCTCTTCTGCTCTTATTTGTTCAGAGAACAAGCAATTATATTATTGATGTTCAATCTAATGTGCTTCTCTCATTGGCTCAGATAAATAAAACACTTTCAAATTATTTTTGCTATTAAGAAGAGTAAAATGATTAGCTTCTTACAGTTTAATTAAATGGCAAAACATTACCACAACAAAGGGAAAATCAGCTATGTATCTATAATCCAAAAGGTTGTACATCCAGAAAAATATAAATACCCCAAAATAAACAGAATCTTGAATTTCATTTAATATTTGAAATATCATGTCTATGACCATACCACCCAATCTCATCTGAAATATCATCCCACTTCTTTTTGGACGTGCTTCATACATCAAAATGTATTTTTAATTGAGACATAACTGACATATAACACTGTATTCTTTTTAGGTGTGCAATATGATTATATGTATCTATTGCAAAGTGATTCCCACTGCAAGTTTGGTTAACTACCATGACCACACATAGTTATAATATTTTTCTTGTGATGAGAACCTTTAAGATCAACTCTCTTAACTTTCAAATATATACATTACAGTGTTGTTAACTATAGTCCCCATGCTGTACATTATATCCCTAGGACTTACTTCTCTTACAACTGGAAGCTTGTACCTTTTTTGTTTTTAAGATTTTATTTATTTATTTGAGAGAGAGAGAGAAGGAGAGCACAAGCAGGGAGAGCGGTGGAGGGAGAGGGAGACACGGGGCTGGATCCCAGGACCCGAAGATCATGACCTGAGCTGAAGGCAGACGCTTAACCGACTGAGCCACCCAGGCCTCCCCAGAAGTTTTTACCTTTTGACCACCTTCATCCATCTTGCCCACCCCCCCCACCCCCTTATTTTTCCCTAATGGACAAGAACTTCATTTCTTCATTCAACAAACACTGAGTGAGTGTCGACTGACAGGCACATCCAGCACAGAAGACGCAGTTGTCAGGAGGCAGTGCTTTTTCCCTCGGGGATCTCACATTGTGGTGGAAGGAGACAAAAACTGACCAACTAAGCAAATATATCATCTGTAAGGTGGTGATAAAGCAAGGTTGGGACAGAGGGTCATGGGAATGTTGTCCTGATCTGGGGCAGGACAGGCCTTTCTGGGGGGGGACACCTTAGCAGAAGCTGCTGTGGGGAGGGTGTGAGCCAGGCAGACAAGAGGACGGCCAGACCAGAGGTGAGGGCATCCAGGGCAGGGCGGTGCCTGGTGGAAGGGCGCTCAGGATGTTCTATGAATGTTCTCTGAACAGCCAGACCAGGAGTACTGAGAATAGGAGGAACAAGGTCGCTGAGGGGCAGGCTGAGGGCCCGGAAGCCATTTTAAGAATTCTGGCCTTTTCCCTGAGTGAATGGAAAGGGAATTTTATTTGATTGGTTTTGTGTTTTTTTTGTTTTTTTT